TCGCCTTTACCAACTACTACGGTCACCCTTTCCTCCCCTCATCTCTTCTTTTCTTCTTCCCCTATCAAGACTCTGAACTACTTCTCTGTTTCTGACAAATACAGAGGTTCCAGAAAACGTGACTGACGTTGCAGTTTTAATGTTTGAAGAGCTAGCTGGAGTTTAGATTTTCTCTCATAAACGAATTTTAAGAATGTAGGCTGTGGTGTAGAGTCGTGTGTAGTTTTGGCGCTGCCTTTAAGCACTTACCAAAATCTGTTGCAAGACCTAACGGCATCAATGGTTATCCTATTTGAGTTCAGGGTACATCATCCCATCAAAAAATTCCTAGCAAATTAGTTTTTAGAACTATTTTTGCGTGTTGTCAGTAGTCCTCTATGAGCGCTAAAGCCACCGGTAACGTAACATGATATATATTAGAAAGAGGTACGAGATCTGCTTTTGCGCGCAAATCTAAGTGTTACTCCTCCCTTCAATCATTAGCGAGTCCTGCAAGATGTGTTAAATTAAAGAGACAATGGGTACATTCTTGAATGTGCGCATAGATAACGAGTAAGCCCAATTGAATGAGAATCCTTACTTATCACTCTCAATCACTTCAAAAAAAAACTCTTGAAAGTTTGTCGAATGAAGTTTTGTTATGGTCAATTTATGATTACAGGACAGTGGAGCCAGTTCTTCGTTGAATTTATCAAAAGTTGCTGGTATCTTCTACATACTCATGTGTGGTATGGTGCTATCGATGTGCACAGCACTAGTGGAATTTGTTGTGCGAAAGAGAAAAGAAAACGGGGAGAAAGAAAAGGTAAAGCAAAAAAAAACATCCTTATGATGAAAGGCAAAAAATACGGCATCACTTGACGCTGAGCTAACAAAGTGCAAAACTCCATTTAGAGATCAGTAGGATCTTTCGCTTTTTTCTTGACAAGGTAGAGCTCAAAAATAGCTCTTTGTTCATATTCCCTTTTTTTAAAATATGTGTAATAAGGTATCGCACCCTCCGAAAGTTGAATTTAGAAGCGGCAGTTGGCCATTCGTCAACGTCCTACTATAATCGGTGCTTGCAACCGGCTGAACAAACGAAGAGCAAAATCAGAAGAAGCTCGAAGTAGTTTATCGACGCAATTTTGACTTTCCCATGGTTATGTCAGAAAATATTTTGTTACTAGTTGTGTGGAACTAGAGATGATCATACAGTATTACTTGCAGCTGACTTTAAATGGATTTGAACGTGAAGGAAGACCTTATACACGTTCTATCGTTTGAAACATTGATCATAGAATTCCTCCATGATCTTACTGTCAATGCTTCGA